AGGCTTCTAAAAAGCCTTTGTATCTTGGGTACAAAAAATACTCCAAACTATCAGCCGTGCTAACACTTTTTAACATTAAGTCGAAGCATGGGTGGACGGACAGTAATTTTACTTCTTTGTTGACCGCGTTAAGTGAGATGTTGCCCGACGGGAATGAAATTCCTAAGTCTTACTATTACGCAAAGAAGCTCATGTGTCCATTTGATTTGAAGTATAAGAAGATACATGCATGTCTTAATGATTGTATTCTTTATCGAAATGAATATGAACAATCGGAGGAGTATCCACGATGCAAGAAGTCGCGCTACAAGCGCAAAAGTTGCAATGCTGGTACGAAGGGACCTCCTGCTAAGGTGTTGTGGTATCTTCCCATTATTCCAAGGTTTAAGCGTTTGTTCTCAACACCAAAAGACGCTAAAAACTTGAGGTGGCATGCAGAGGGAAGAAAGAAAAACAGAATGTTGAAGCATCCAGCCGACTCCCCGCAATGGAAGAACATTGATATGAAGTTTGGGGAATTAGGTGATGAAGTCAGAAATTTAAGGCATGGGTTGTGCACGGATGGGATGAATCCATTTGGCACTCTTAGTACCCAACACAGCACATGGCCGGTACTTTTAGTGATCTATAATTTGCCTCCTTGGTTGTGCATGAAACGGAAATACGTAATGCTTTCACTTTTGATAACGGGGCCAAGGCAACCTAGAAACGACATAGATGTTTATCTTGCGCCACTTGTTGACAATTAGAGAACGATGTGGGACGAAGGGGTTTCCGTTTTTGATGCTCATAAGAATGAGAAGTTCACATTGCGTGCAACTCTTATGTGGATCGTTAATGATTTTCTTGCATATGGCAACTTATTTGGTTACAAGACCAAAGGAAAAAAAAAGCATGCCCCATTTGTATTGATGACACCCCAAGCATACACCTTGATAATTTTCACAAAGAGGTGTACGTGCGTACTCGAAGGATGCTCAGGCGCGATCACCCGTACCGCAGGCAGAAAAAGGCTTTCGATGGGAAAGTGAAAGAGGGGACTGCGCCTAGGCCATTGACTGGTGAGGAGGTTTATGCTCGAGTTAAGGGTATACGAACAGTATTTGGGAAAACATAAAAAGCTCTGGACTTAACTGCTCTCTTCAAAAAAGAATCAATTTTTTGGAAGCTTCCGTACTGGAAAGAACATGACGTTAGGCACTGTCTTGATGTAATGCATATAGAGAAGAATGTGTGTGATGTTCTCGTGGGAACAGTAATGAATATATATGGCAAAACAAAGGATGGAAAGGGTGCACGGTTAGAATTGGAAAAGATGGGGGTTCGTCCAGAATTGTGGGCTCAGAAAAAGGTTCGAACGGGAAAGGAACAGGAAACGAAAAATGAAATGAGTTCGAAAAAAGGAAAGGGGAAGAGCAAGGGAATGGGAAAAGCCACGGATGCGTCGAAGAAGAAATATGCGGGAAAAGCCGAGGATGACAAGGCTTATTTACCTCCGGCTTGCTACACATTGTCAAGGGTAGAAAAACAGAAGTTTTCTGCATGTCTGTACGGCATTAAGGTTCCATCAGGGTACGCATCTAACATGAAAAGATTTGTATCCTTGAATGGAGAATTGAAGCTGACAAGTATGAAATCCCACGATTGTCATATTCTGATGCAAGTATTCCTACCAATTGCAATACGTGGTATTTAACCAAAGCACGTGAGGGAAGCTATTACAAGCCTCTGTTCGTTTTTCAATACAATATGCAGCAAAGTGCTTGATCCTTGTACACTTGATGCTTTACAGGCGGATGTGGTTGTGACTTTGTGCAAATTTGAGATGTACTTCCCACCCTCATTTTTTGACATAATGGTGCATTTGATTCTTCATTTGGTGCGTGAGATTAAATTGTGTGGTCCAGTGTTCATGAGGTGGTGCTATCCTTTTGAAAGACACATGGGAACATTGCAAAATAAGGTAAGGAATCGGGCTCACCCGGAAGGAAGTATGATTCAAGGGACTGTGGCTGAGAAGATTGGTAATTTTGTGGCCGACTACATAGCCGTTGCTGAACCTATTGGTATTCCTACTTCTCGCCATGAAGGGATACTTGATGGTCATGGCACAATCGGGTCAAAACGAATGTCACCTGATCGAGATAAGTTCTTACAAGCACACCTACACGTGTTGTACCATGTTGCTGATGTTCACCCATATTTAGACGAGCACATGGCTAGTTTGCGTGATGAATTTCCATCAAAAGGTGAAAGGGCACTGATGCAGTTGCATAATAAGAAGTTTGTGAGTTGGTTTCGTGATCGAGTGATGGGTGGAATGGATGAGAGTGTCACAGATACAGTAAGGTGGCTTGCTTATGGTCCTAGGGATGATGTTCGCTCATTTGAGGGATATGACATAAATATGTACACATTTTGGATTGAGCGTCAGGATTTGAAATCTTCCTCGACCCAAAACAGTGGTGTAACGCTTGTGGCATCGTCAAGGGAGTTTGCAAGTGCTAAGGATAAATCACCCGATGATGCAGAGTTGTCATATTACGGTCGAATTCAAGAAATATGGGAGCATGATTATTGTGACTTCACGATTGCTCTTTTCCGGTGTAAGTGGGTTGATAATATCAGGCGTAACGTCAAATATAATGACTTTACACTTGTAGATCTTGACCACCTGAATGATAGTGCGGAACCATTCATCCTTGCATCTCAAGCTAAGCAAGTATTTTACGTAATTGATCCAGCCGACTCAAAATGATCTATTGTGCTAGCCGGCAAAAGAAGAATCCTTGGCGTTGGAGATGTCGAGGATGAGGAAGAGTATGATGCGTTTGATGACTCGACACCTTTCACTGTTCCTAAACCTGTTGTACCAAATGAGATAGACAACCAAGCCAATTACATGCGATCAGACCACAACGAAGGAATATTAGATTGAGGTACTATTTTTTGTTATTTTGAAATTGTAGGCGTAGAAAGTATTATTAAATCATAGGTTAGGGTAAAAATGAATGATATTGTTGACTTACTTGCCCATTTTTCTTATTTTCTTTTAAATGAATGAAGTAACTTTTAAAACATTTGAAATACCGGAAAAAAACGACCTACACTTGCCCATATTCTATGTTGATTTGTATTATAATTCAGCAATTTGGATTTGATTATAACATTATTACCATACTAATTTATTTATATCACACCTAATAACGTTTTATGTTTGTAATGACAGGTTTTCACATCTCATGGCGAACGATCAGTACCGTACTGGAGTCGAGGATGTAGAGGATGATGATGATGATTCCTCTGATGATGGGGACGAGCTGTATGATGTGAACAAGGAGCCTGATTTGGGTGAGGCAGAAGATTAGGCTCAAGATCATTTGGAGCGTATGCTTGAGGAGTTTGAAATTGCAGCTGAACAAGCGTCTCCTATCGAAAATGCAATTTCTGAGACGTTTGGTCAGAATCATATGTCACAAACTCAAAGCTAAGAACAAAGTGGAGGTGGGGTGAAGGCACCGCGAAGAAAAAGTCGAGGGGTCCGACGACAAGTTTCAAGAAACCCGTCGATCAAATGGTCCTGGAGTACGACAAGGCAGGCCAACCTACAGGCAAATGGCGTCATCAGTATGTTGTTCACGTTGGGATTTGTGCGCACAAAATCCCCATCACTATTGGTTGGCGGGAAGAATCTCCAGGCTTGATTGACACATTTTGGAATGATACAAGGGCAAGTGTTTTCTTTCTACACAATTGTGAATACCTTGACTTTATTGTTATTTAAAAGGGGAAACTAATAACCGCTTTTATTTGTGCTTGCAGAGTGTGTTTAACATTCCTAATGATGCCGCCAAGCGAAGGGTGTTTGTATCTTTTCTGGCAAAAAGATTCAGAGGCCGCAAGACCCTCTTAGTTCGTACTTGGATCACAAAGACAAGGGTGAGAAGACCAAAGAAAAAAAAAGGAGGTGGAAATGATGTTGAAGTAATCGAGGAAGAGCAACTCCCTTGGCAAAAATGGCCAAGCGTATCGAAGGATGATTGAAGGAAGCAATTGTAAGTTTAAGTAAATCCCTTGACAATTGTATAATATATTAACTCTTTTTAAAGTAATGATACTAACATGTCTAATTATGTAGGAACTGAGGGAGAAAAATTCCAGAAATGCATTGCAGAGGCAATACACCCATTGTATGGGGCCTAAAACATTTGGTGAATGGAGGGATACGTGGGTGAAGGAGGGAGTATACCCTACTGCGCTTCTAGGGTCCTCCAAAGAAGCCTCTGATTCCACGACGAGTACGTTGGTGAGTCGTGCTGACGATTTCATTTGTTCTCTGCATTCGCGTGACAAGAAAACCGGAAAATGGGTCATCAACGCGCCGGAAACCAAAGAAATGGCAGATAAACTCGTAAGCAACTATGAACTAGTGAACTTTATGAAGCTTTAGCATAAACATCACTTTACAAAAACATTAACTATATTCATGTTGCCTTTTTGGTTTAGCTACAGCTTGAGTACACTGAAGAACTGGTTACAGGCAAGCTCGTCCCAACAGTAGAGAATGACCCTTTCACCTTGGCTTTGGAAAAGCCCTACCATCCAGGACGAGTATTAGGTGCGGGAAGGACCTTGCTAGGATGGGAAAAGGTGATGGGTCCAGAATATACCAAATTAGGAAGATCCCGAGCAAGTGTGAACTCACCGGTTGACTTGGATGCCACGGTGGCATCAATTAAGGAACAAGTGCGCAACGAGATGCGAGAAGAATTCAATGCTTGGGCAAAACAACTGAACTTGCCGGGCTTGCCTTTCCCCTCGACTACACCGGTCGACTCATGTAGTCACCCACAAGGACAAGGAGAAGATGAGATACATGGAGACGATGATGAGATACATGGAGACGATGATGAGGTAGTTCCATATCTATTAGTTTTGGCATATTGTGTTACGTGAGATCTAACGTGGCATTATGAACTTACCATTGCAGGTTCGTACTCCTACACATGCGGACTCGAGGGAGCTTCATAATCCAACACCAGTTGACTTTCCAGATTTACAGGTAATTTGTTTAGTTCTTTGTAAATGTTCTCCGTTTCTTCGTTTATTTCGTGTTTCTTTGTTTCTGTATTACTTGCATAACGATTGATCGGGAAAGGAGATGTCCGAGGTGATGGTATTAATTCTGTCATGTTTCTGTGTTGTTTCTGTTCTGTTTCTGTGCTATTTTTGTCGTGTTTCTGTGCTATCATGTTGTTTCTGTCATGCTTTTTCTGTGCTTGCTGCCTGCCTGTTTCTGCGCTTGCTGCCTGCCTGCTGGCATGCTTGATGTGATGCTGCCATCTGCCTGCTGTGCTGCCTGCAATGATGCTGTGAGTTGTGCTATTTCTGTGATGTGTTGCTGATGTTTCTGTGTTGTGTTCTGTGTCTGCTGTTTCTGTGGAGCTGTGAGCTGTGCTGCCTGCTGTGCTTGTTGTGAACTGTGTGCTGCTGTTTCTGTGTTGTGAGCTGGTTGCTGCTATTTCTGTGCTGTGACCTGTGTTTGTGCTGTGAGTTGTGTATGTGCTGTTTTTGTTCTGTGAACTGTGCTGTGAGCTGGTTGCTGCTGTTTCTGTGTTTCCTGTGAACTGTGATGCCTGCTGTGAGCTGTGTATGTGTTGTGAGCTAGTTGCTGTTGTTTCTGTGTGGCCTGTGAACTGTGCTATCTGCTGTGAGCTGTGTCTGCCTGCTGTGAGCTGTGAGGTGTGTCTGCCTGCTGCCTGCACAACACTGTGAGCTGTTGTGTCTGCTGTGAGCTATTTCTGTGTTGTGTTGCCACCTGATGTGTCTGTGTTGAGCTCTTGATGTGAGTTGTGTCTGCTGTGAGTTGTTGCTATGTTGTTGTGAGCATATTGCACAACAATCGGTTTTGTTATATAATTTTGTTTTCGGTTTTGTTACATGCTTAAAACTCTAATGATACCTTAACATAATCATAAAATCGGTTTTTTTATATAATTTTGTTTTCGGTTTTGTTTTTCGGTGTGGGCGTTGTTTATAATCGCTTTGAAAGTGTTAATTTCTTCTTCCAAATTACTGCAGGAAGAGACACGTTGTGCACTTCTACACCTGGGGCTATCAAACAGTGGACCTTTGCAGTTGGTTGCGTATGCTAGTGCACAACCGACCAGTGGTACGGTCCATTCGCGACCGCTTAGGCCACAACATTACTCGATCGGGATCAATTCTATGATTGCGGGGTTCGAGTACATCCTAGTACCGGTGCCCGTAGAGGAGGATGGGATTACGACACTCTGGGAAGCAAAAGGTAGCTTTGTGCAATGGCCTTGTGCTTGGGTAAGGTTAATCAACGAGGTAAGATTTTGGGTTCACTCTTTACTTTATGCTCGGTTGTCTTCCCAAGAGTTGGATGAATTTATTTTCTAACCAATTGCGTGATTTACTTTATCAAATTTCGAAGAAAAGCCAAACTTCAAAGAGAAAGAGGTTGAGCAGCCTAAAAGCATTGGTCAACCGGTGCCAAAGAAGAGGAGTGAACAACGGTCGGAGAGTGAAAAAGCGCCGAAGAAGAACTCTTCGAGAGGTTCAGCTATGCAAGCAACTCCACTTGTTGCAGACACGGTCCTTCAATCGCTCTCTAAAGATTTAACTTATCTACACAACTGTGTTGCTTTGTTGCCTAGTGACACTCCCGTTCAAGTTGCACTACCTAAGGCATTGTTCCACTATGATGACGATGCAATTGCATGGCTCAGCAAAGAAGATGTGAAGGAATTTCTAAGTGGATCAATGCTTAACATTTCCCTCATTCAAACATTCATGAGGTATTTCAATGCCACTCAAAGTATGTTATTCAGATTAGTGGTGATTGTCGTTTATTTTTCCATTAACATTCTATTATCATGCATGCAGAGCACTACAGGAGCACTTACGTGACATTGATTCTCCGTGTCAAGTTGGGTGGTTATGCCCCGAGCAGATCTCCACTACTAGAATCTTAGGCAACCACCCTGACGTGTTGTACTATGTTGAACGGAGTATCAAGGAATCAATGCGTGCGGGAGACAAGTTCATATTGGCCCCATGTTATTAGGAGTACGTCTAATCATGTCAAATTCATTTGTTTCCCCTGATTATATGTTGTACATGGCTAATAACTAATTTGTATGTCCACTACAACAAAATAAAGCAAAGGTAACAATGCAAAACCATTGTCTAATATAAAAAAAGTGTTGCCTTGTAGCTAAGACAACACATATGAGGCGTAATTTATGCCCCCGTTGTCTATTCATAAGGCAACACATTCTTATTCATAGGCAACAATTTTGATAGCTTAGGTAAAATGATACATAAGGCAACCCTTTAACAAAGACAACAAATGAAAAATGTTGTCATCTAAGAAGATAATTCAAAAATGTTGTCACTCCCAAGCATTTAGTAGTTGGTAGGGCTCGAACTTGTGACCTCAGAGTCACAAGGTGAGTTCCCCACCAACTCTACCAAACTTGCTCTTATGTATATATATATATATATATATATATATATATATATATATATATATATATATATATATATATATATATATATGTTGTCATTTTAATATAAATGTTGCTATAGATGGCAACATAGATATTAATGTTACATTTTTCAAACAATAGTTTTGTTATTGTTACATGCAACAATTATTATATTTGTTGTCTTAGACAAGAAAAAGGTAACACTTTAAGCGACTGTTGCCTTATATAGTCTAGAGCAACACTTTTTTTCTGTTACTTTAGTTCAAGGTAACAAATAAGTATTGTTGCGTTAGATTATTAAGAGTAACATTTATGTAAGTGTTGCAATCTTAAGTGTTGCTTATTCTCATTTTTTTTGTAGTGGTCTATTGTGATTTTATGTAGTTTGCATTGGACCCTGCTGGTGATTTGTGTTTCCAGTAACACAATCTTCCTTTTTGATTCAGCTCGATTGCCTCATCCAAAAAAGCTACTCGTGAAGTCCATATTGCAAAAGTAAATAAAGCTACCTAGTGTTGATTATCATTACCTAACTCATTTATTAGTCATACTAATCAAATTTGACCTTACTTTTCTACAGTGTTATGAATAAGATAAATTGTCGAGCTCCTCAAGGTCCCACATGGAAATCACTTATGGTAATTCCACGTGATATTGTGATATTCGTAATAAACAATGCGTAAAAAGTTACTAATTTGCTATATATGCATGTTTGATTCATGTACTTTGTTCCTATGCTAGTGCGCACAACAAGATAACGGAGTTGATTGCGGCATATACGTGATGAGATTCATTTTTGACATAGTGAGTCGTTGTACAAACACACTACAGGTTGATGAGGTATTCCATTGACTTAGTTTATTTGCTCTTAACATGTGATTTGACAAGAAATGTAAGAAATAGGCCTTACTTGGGCCATTTTGGATGAAAATGAACCCTAAAACACATGAATTGCTCTTTTCTTGAGATTTCAAGCCCTAGGCTCCTATAACTAAGTAATAATGACATTTTATAAGAAATAATGAGTTCATTTGACAAGAAATGTAGGAAATAGGCATCCTAGTAGTCAAATTGGCCTTACTTGGGCCATTTTGGATGAAAATTAACCCTAAAACACTTGAATTGCTCCTTTCTTGTGATTTCAAGCCCTAGACGTCTATAACTAAGTAATAATGACATGTTATGAGAAAGAATGAGTTCATTTGACAAGAAATGTAGGAAATAGGCATCCTAGTAGTCAAATTGGCCTTACTTAGGCCATTTTGGATGAAAATGAACCCTAAAACACTTGAATTGCTCTTTTCTTGAGATTTTGAGCCCTATCCGCCTGTAAATAAGTAATAATGACATGTTACGAGAAAATATGAGTTTATTTGACAAGAAATGTAGGAAATAGGCATCCTAGTAGTCAAATTGGCCTTACTTGGGCCATTTTGGATGAAAATGAACCCTAAAACATTTGAATTGCTATTTTCTTGTGATTTCAATCCCTAGGCACCTATAACTAAGTAATAATGACATGTTATGAGAAATAATAAGTTCATTTGACAAGAAATTTAGGAAATAGGCATCCTAGTAGTCAAATTGGTCTTACTTGGGCCATTTTGGATGAAAATGAACCCTAAAACACTTGAATTGCTCTTTTCTTGTGATTTCAAGCCTTAGGCGCCTATAACTAAGTAATAATGACATGTTATGAGAAAGAATGAGTTCATTTGACAAGAAATGTAGGAAATAGGCATCCTAGTAGTCAAATTGGCCTTACTTGGGCCATTTTGGATGAAATGGAACCCTAAAAGACTTGAATTGCTCTTTTCTTGTGATTTAAATCCCTAGGCTCCTATAACTAAGTAATAATGACATGTTATAAGAAATAATGATGTCATTTGACTAGAAATGTAGGAAATAGGCATCCTAGTAGTCAAATTGGCCTTACTTGGGCCATTTTGGATGAAAATGAACCCTAAAACACTTGAATTGCTCTTTTCTTGTGATTTAAAGCCCTAGACTCCTATAAATAAGTAATAATGACATGTTATGAGAAAGAATGAGTTCATTTGACAAGAAATGTAGGAAATAGGCATCGCAGTAGTCAAATTGGCCTTACTTGGGCCATTTTGGATGAAAATGAACCCTAAAACACTTGAATTGCTCCTTTCTTGTGATTTCAAGCCCTAGACGTCTATAAATAAGTAATAATGACATGTTATGAGAAAGAATGAGTTCATTTTACAAGAAATATAGGAAATACGCATCCTAGTAGTCAAATTGGCTATACTTGGGCCATTTTGGATGAAAATGAACCCTAAAACACTTAAATTGCTCCTTTCTTGTGATTTCAAGCCTTAGAAGTCTATAGTAATAATGACATTTTATGAGAAATAATGAGTTCATTTGACAAGAAATGTAGGAAATAGGCATCCTAGTAGTCAAATTGGCCTTACTTGGCCATTTTGGATGAAAATGAACCCTAAAACACTTGAATTGCTCTTTTCTTGTGATTTCAAGCCCTAGGCGCCTATAACTAAGTAATAATGACATGTTATGAGAAAGAATGAGTTCATTTGACAAGAAATGTAGGAAATAGGCATCCTAGTAGTCAAACAGGCCTTACTTGGGCCAATTTGGACGAAAATGAACCCTAAAACATTTAAATTGCTCATTTCTTGTGATTTCAAGCCTTAGCCGCCTATAACTAAGTACTAATGACATGTTATGAGAAAGAATGAGTTCATTTGACAAGAAATGTAGGAAATAGGCATCCTAGTAGTCAAATTGGCCTTACTTGGGCCATTTTGGATGAAATGGAACCCTAAAAGACTTGAATTGCTCTTTTCTTGTGATTTAAATCCCTAGGCTCCTATAACTAAGTAATAATGACATGTTATAAGAAATAATGATGTCATTTGACTAGAAATGTAGGAAATAGGCATCCTAGTAGTCAAATTGGCCTTACTTGGGCCATTTTGGATGAAAATGAACCCTAAAACACTTGAATTGCTCTTTTCTTGTGATTTAAAGCCCTATACTCCTATAAATAAGTAATAATGACATGTTATGAGAAAGAATGAGTTCATTTGACAAGAAATGTAGGAAATAGGCATCGCAGTAGTCAAATTGGCCTTACTTGGGCCATTTTGGATGAAAATGAACCCTAAAACACTTGAATTGCTCATTTCTTGTGATTTCAAGCCCTAGACGTCTATAAATAAGTAATAATGACATGTTATGAGAAAGAATGAGTTCATTTTACAAGAAATATAGGAAATACGCATCCTAGTAGTCAAATTGGCTATACTTGGGCCATTTTGGATGAAAATGAACCCTAAAACACTTAAATTGCTCCTTTCTTGTGATTTCAAGCCTTAGAAGTCTATAGTAATAATGACATTTTATGAGAAAGAATGAGTTCATTTGACAAGAAATGTAGGAAATAGGCATCCTAGTAGTCAAATTGGCCTTACTTGGCCATTTTGGATGAAAATGAACCCTAAAACACTTGAATTGCTCTTTTCTTGTGATTTCAAGCCCTAGGCGCCTATAACTAAGTAATAATGACATGTTATGAGAAAGAATGAGTTCATTTGACAAGAAATGTAGGAAATAGGCATCCTAGTAGTCAAACAGGCCTTACTTGGGCCAATTTGGACGAAAATGAACCCTAAAACATTTAAATTGCTCATTTCTTGTGATTTCAAGCCTTAGCCGCCTATAACTAAGTACTAATGACATGTTATGAGAAAGAATGAGTTCATTTGACAAGAAATGTAGGAAGTAGGCATCCTAATAGTCAAATTGACCTTACTTGGGCCAATTTGGATGAAAATGAACCCTTAAACACTTAAATTGCATTTTTACATGCATAACCTAAGTAATTAATTCTAACATACTTTTTGTTTATTCCAAGTTTTGCAAGGTACAAAAGGGAGGTCCGTTGACGAGCAAAGAAGTTAATGAAGTTCGAAACATGTTGGCGTCCTTCATCACATTTAACATGTAAATATCATTAATATTTGAACTTGTTAACTACATTATTGATTAGTATTGTTTGTAATTATGACACTTTTTAAATTAGTATTGTTTGTAAATATTATTGCGTTTGGGATTATATATTAATTAATATCTATGTATTGTTATTATTCCAATTTACAAATTATTATTATTATTAATTATAATATTATAATAATAATAATAATTATTATTGTTATATAATATTTGTAGAATGAATGCAGGATTTACAGGTTCTCATTATTAATTATTATTAATATTAGTATTAATATTGATATTTATAGCCGAAAAAAAAAACAAAGTTAAAGGCACCAGTTCAGGCTTCAAACCAGTGCCTATTGTGCTGAAACAGAAAAAAAAATGCGTGCCATTGGTTTTTGGCACCGGTTAACCGGTGCCATAGAGTGTATTTTGCACCGATTAACCGGTGCCATAGCTCTTAATAGCCACCGGTTTTGAACCGGTGCCAAATCTTTAGAGATTTGGCATCCCTCACATACCCAACGGTTCAAAACCAGTGCCAAAGGGGGGGGGGTTTGAACCAGTGCCTATTTCACTTTTTCGCCTAGTGGTCTTTCCTCAAGATTGGCTTTTGTTCATAAAGTAAACCACTTGGGGGGTGTGCACACTTAGTGAGGAATTGGTTTTGAAACGTAATCGATTGAGTTTTATACTTGTCTTGAAAGAATTGAATTGGAAAAGCTCTTACATGAGTATGATGTTGGGAAGATTGTTTGGAATTATTGGAATTAAACTTAAATGATTTAATTGATGTTTTACTTATCTCACACATAATCTACTTAGCATAATTTTCTAATGCGTGCTTTTGTTTGGCTTTGCCCTGTTTACCATTTATGGTAAGCAGGTGAACTTTTCAGGTGGAAGTTGATTGATGCATATGGGAGTCCACGAGAATTTCACCTAGCTTAGGGAAAAGTTTGATTTTGTGTTTTTATGTCATAATTAATGAACAGTTTTATTTGAAGTATTATTAATAAAGAATAAATTATTTTCGCTGCAAAAGTATTTTGAAGTATAAGCCTTGCGTTGTCACGCGGCGGTATTACGCCCAAGTCTATCTCTATAATATTTATACGTATTTTTCTACATCTTCTGTAGAGGGAGATTTGGGAGTGTTACAAAGTGGTATCAGTTTGTCGGGTCTTAAAACAAGATTAAAAGTTGAAATAAATAAATTGGATGGGTAGACTTAAGTTGGGCATATAGGATAGAGTTTCGCATTTTTTGTAAAAAAAAAAAAAAAAAGAGAAAAAAAACCATTTTCATAAAAACTATTTTCTTCTTTGGAAAGATGATTGAGAAAAGGATTCTCGGGTTCTCATAATGAGGCCTATAATGGGTACACCTCTCTGTCTAGGCAAGGCTCTCCCCGACACTGTGGGTAACTTACCTGGGAGACGCGGGCTCGAACATCCTATATCATGAGTCGAGTACATTATTAATTTCGAAATAAAATGAATTGAAATTTCCTAAGTCAGGTCAAACCCCAAATTATAGTGATTATGTACCAACCTATTTGAAGGAACCCAATAGTAATAAGAAGGCTAACAGTGACGATCCAGAGTTCGATCCAGTGGAAGAGAAGGGTTCAAATAAAGGATCTATGTTATGACTTGTTTCAATAAATTTTATGCGCAATAAAATGTACTTCAAAAATTAATTAGTAATAATAAAGTATTTGCTTGATTTCTTCTATGTTTATGTGTACAAATAAATTTTAATTTTTTTTTCTTTCTTTCTCTCAAATGTGAACCTCAGGAAAAAATATGTCTTTAAAGTTAATAAGAAAGTTGGTTCCAATGTGGGCAAGGTCCTTAAGAAACTACCCCATCTTGCTAAAAACATTACCCAAGTAGCAAATCAAGGGAAGGGTTCAGGAAATGGGGACAACTTTGGTGAAGTCTTTAAGGGAGTAGCTGCAGCCAAACCACCCTTTTTCTTAGGAAAAGAGGACCCAGCTAGCCTTGAAAACTAGATCCGAGAGTTCGATAAATTGTTTGATGCAATCAAATGTCCAGACAATATGAAAGTCAGTAATGGTGTCTACTATCTAAAAGAAGAAGCTGACTTATGGTGGACGCAAAAGAAAGAGGAATTAATGAAAGACCCTGATTTTGGCTTGGAGGATTTTAAGATAGCTTTGAGGAAAAAGTTTTATCCTGGCCATTTTAGAAAACACAAATGTATGGAGTTCACTAACTTAAGGATGGGGACTATGACTTTGAGTGAGTACTATTCTAAGTTCATAGAACTGATGAGGTTTGCACCGGAAGTAGTACCAACGGAGGCTATCAAGGCCCAAAGATTCGAACAAGGGTTAACCTGGAATCTACAAGGAAAATTGGGTGGGGCAACCTTTGAGAGTCTAGATGAGGTGTATGGCCGAGCTGCCCATTTGTATGGGATCAAAGGAAGGGAGATAGGGAGCATGTCTGGGGAGAAAAGGAAGTCCAACGATCAACCCAAGGGAGTGATAAAAGGCCCAAGAACGATGTAAGTTTTGGGAATGGGAACCATGGAGATAAGAGGGACTTTAAAGCAAATTTTAAGAGAAACCCAAACCAGGGTGATGAGTAGAGAGAACAGGGATAAAACTAGGAGAAGTTACTTCTGTAAAAGATGTGGGAAGGATCACCCAGGGAAGGATTGTGCAGGTAATAAGGTGACATGTCGATACTGCCAAAAATTGGGACACCGGGAATACGAGTGTTTCAAGAAGGAAGCAGACTTGAAGAATGGGAAGGTTCAGGATGGACGAAATCCCCCAAAACCCCCGCAATCTAGTGGACCTGCCCAGAACACCGGAATCAGTAATGGTGGAAATACCCCTAAGGGCCGGATTTTTGTAATGAATAGCCGTGAAGCTGAGACTTCCAATAATGTGGTAATTGGCACTTTTCTTATACGTTCTTTATCTATGAAAGTTTTATTTGTTTCGGGTGCATTGCACTCTTTTATTTCTAAGACAGTAATAGAAAGTCTCCAGTTAGAAAGTCTAGAGTTAGTTTCCTTGGATGTAGCTATTCCAACAGGGGAGGTTAAGGAGTGTTCTAGACTTTTTAGGATTGTACCCCTAACTATTTCAAAAGTTGAGTTTCCATCGGACCTAATTGAATTCGATCTCAAAGATCTTGATGTGATCGTGGGAATGGACTAGTTGGGAAAGTACAAAGCTCAGATAGATTGTGCAGCATAGAAAGTCACGTTTTATGGCCCATCGAAGACCAGAGTGACTTATAGGAAGGAAGGGAAAAGTCAAGGGATAAGAATTATTTCTGCTTTACAACTTCAGAAGTGTCTCAAGAAAGGGTATCTGTTATTTATGTGTAGCCTCCAAGAGATAAGGGATGAAGGGGAAAAGAGTGATGGAAAATTACCTGTTGTGGAAGAATTTCCCGATGCATTTCCAGATGAAATACCAGGCATGCCACCAGAAAGAGATGTGGAATTCACGATTGACTTGGTCCCTGGAACTGGTCCTATTTCCAAGGCCCCATACAGGATGGCCTAAGCTGAGATGAAAGAATTAAAGGCCTAACTGGCTTGAAAAAGGATACATTAGACCTAGTTCCTCACCCTGGGGAGCTCCAGTACTGTTTGTGAAGAAAAAGGATGGGAGTTTAAGGTTATGTATTGATTACCGTGAGTTGAATAATCTAACCGTGAAGAACAAATACCCACTGCCCCGGATTGATGATTTGTTTGACTAGTTAAAAGGAGCAGGAACATTCTCAAAAATAGATTTGAGGTCGGGTTATCACCAGTTAAGGATTGCAGAGCGAGATATTCCTAAGACTGCTTTCAGGACCCTTTATGGCCATTATGAGTTTACAGTAATGTCGTTTGGGTTGACGAACGCACCAGCAGTGTTCATGGACCTAATGCACCGAATCTTCCGACCCTATCTAGATAAGTTTGTAGTAGTATTTATTGATGACATTCTGGTTTACTCGAATAGTAAGGAGGACCATGAAGACCATTTAAAGAAAGTGTTACAGCTGTTAAGGGAGCATCAGTTATATGCCAAACTTTCTAAGTGTGAGTTCTGGTTAGAGAAAGTTGCCTTTTTGGGACATGTGATTTCTAAGGAAGGAGTCTCGGTTGAACCAGCTAAGGTGCAAGCTGTATAGGAGTGGCCAACCCCAAGGAATGTGTCAGAGGTAAGGAGTTTCCTAGGATTGGCCGGATATTATCGGAGGTTTATAAAGGATTTTTCAAGAATATCAAGACCGATGACCAACTTGATGAAAAAGGAATGTAAGTTCATTTGGTCTCCTGAGTGTGAGGAAGCATTTCAAACCTTGAAAGAAAAATTGACGACAGCCCCTGTGTTAGCACTACCTGACGAGAGTAAGCAGTATGAAGTGTATAGTGATGCGTCAAAGTTTGGGTTAGGATGTGTTTTAATGCAAGTTAGGAGAGTAATCGCTTATGCCTCAAGACAACTGAAGACATATTAGCAGAATTACCCAACGCATGACTTGGAACTTGTTGCCATAGTGTTTGCCTTGAAGATTTGGAGGCATTACTTGTATGGAGTGAAGATTTGGAGGCATTACTTGTATGGAGTGACTTGTAGAATTTTCACTGATCACAAGAGCCTAAGGTATATCTTCACCCAAAAGGAATTGAACATGAGGCAGAGAAGGTGGTTAGAATTTATCAAGGATTACGAGCTAGAGGTAGATCTAGTACCACGAGGGTAAGGCTAATGTAGTGGCAGATGCCTTAAGCAAGGAAGTTAAGACACTCGATATATGCGATGATATTGCCGGACCAACTGTGTATAGAGTTCCAAAAGATGAATTTGGAAGTAGTAGAGCAAGGAGAAGTTACTCGAATGTTGAACGCTTTGATTATACGACCATCGATTTTTGAAGAAATTAGGAACAGTCAGTCTGAGGATGGAAAATTGAAGAATATAAAAGAAAAACTAGGTGAAGGGCAGGTATCGGATTTCACCATTGATGAAGACGGTGGACTTCGTTTTAAAGGAAGATGGTGTGTTCCACAGCATTGTGGGGACATCAAACAAAGAGTGATGGAAGAAGCTCATAGTTCTCCTTATTCAATGCATCCTGGAGGGGACAAATTGTATAAGGACATGAAGAAAATGTTTTGGTGGCCCAATATGAAAAGAGAAGTTGCTGAATTTGTGGCTAGATGTCTAACATGTCAGAAAGTGAAGATTGAACATCGCAAACCGCAAGGAAAGGTCCAATCATTAGAAGTGCCTAGTTGGAAGTGGGATTCCATCTCTATGGATTTTGTTGGGGCATTACCCAAAACTCGGGCGGGATATGACACCATTTGGGTAATTGTGGATCGATTGACGAATACAGCTGTCTTCATACCCATGAAAAACACTTGGTCCATGGAGCAATTAGGAAAAGCCTATGTTAAGTATGTAGTAAAGTACCATGGGGTGCCAAGAGATATTGTGTCAGATGGGGACTCGAGATTCTTATCCAACTTTTGGCAAAGTGTGCAAAAAGCAATGGGGACGAAACTATTAATGAGCACGACATTTCACCCTGCCAAGGATGGACAAACCGAGAGGACCATCCAAACGTTGGAGGATATGTTGAGGGCATGTGTAATGGAATATCAGGGGTCGTGGGAAGACCACCTAGATTTGATTGAGTTCTCCTACAACAACAGTTACCATGCAAGTATTAGGATGGCACCATTTGAAGCTCTATACGGGAGGAAATGTAGGAGCCTAGTCTGTTGGAGTGATATCAGTGAAACAATGGTACTTGGACCGGATATGGTTGAAGACATGGTTAAACAAGTCAAATTGATACAAGAAAAGATGAAAGCAGCCCAAGACAGACAAAGAAGTTAAGCTGATCCAAAGAGAAGGGAAGAAGAGTATCAAGTAGGAGAGAAAGTGTTGTTAAAGGTATCACCCATGAAAGGGGTTATGAGATTTGGGAAAAGAGGGAAATTAAGTCCGAAGTATATTGGACCATACGAAATTACTCAGCGGATCGGAAAAGTGGCATATAGGTTGAACTTACCTAGTGAGCTAGAAAAGGTCCATAGTGTGTTTCATGTGAGCCAAACCCGAAAGTATGTACCGGATGCGACTCATGTATTACAACCTGAGAACATAGAAATGGAGGAAAACCTGACTTATGAGGAAAGACCTGTCAAAATTTTGGATACTAAAGTCAGGAGCACAAGAAACAAGGATGTGAGGATCGTAAAAGTGTTAGGGAAAAATCACAGAATTGAGGAAGCAACATGGGAAGCTGAAGCCGATATGCGGAAGCGCTACCAAGACCTCTTTCTTGAGGTTAGTGGTCGAGTTACGGGGGCGTAACTCTTTTAAGGGGGGTAGAGTGCAATAGAGTTTCGCGCACGTTTATCTTCACCCCTCTAGATTAGCAGTAGGTTGTGTCTAGTTAGAATGTGCATGAATTTAACAAACTAAAACCTACCTTCAAAGAAAGAAAAATTTTAATTTTTTCCTCATTATTCTGCCTAGTTTCGGGGCGAAACTTCTTTTAAGGGGAGTAGATTGTAATACTTCGTATTTTTTAAAGGTATTTTCTAAATTAAAGAGTACTCTAGTCTTGTATTTTTGACGTATTTTCTAAATTAATAAAGAGTATTTTAGTTTTGGAGCCAAAATGATATTTGAATTTTGGCGCCTAAATAAATTGTCTTATTATTTTACAAAATTAATTAAATAAAACCATTTTATAGCAATGTTATAAATAGTGTTTTTGATTTTTCGAAAATTAAATAAATAAACCGGAATTATATTAATTCGGTTAAAATAAATTAATTAAACTAATTAAATAATATTTTCAGATTTTATAATGAAAACCTGATTTGTTTTAATATTTTTCTAAGTTAATTACTTTCATGAAATATATATATTTAATAATAAAATATTTTACCTAAACTATGAAATTAGTATAAGTGGTCCGAAAATATTAAGTTAATTATTTGCTTAATATTTTTGTCCACCCTTAAAATTATTTAATAAATTAGACTAATTTCCTATTCTAATAAAACTAAAGTTCTTCATAATATTTTCGGATATTAATAAAGAAAAATCTGATTTTTATTTTTCCAACTATTAATTTTCACAAAATAAATTTAATTAAATTATTAATTTTAGGCATAAAAATATTTTACAAAAATCTATGAATTAACATAGAGGGACCAAAATTATTGAGCTATATTAAGCTCAATATTTTCGGCCACTCATAGTTTTTTTAAATAATTGTAATTTATTTTATTAAAAATAAAAATCCTATAATATTCCTTATTTCTACTCCTAAATCAAAAATTTATTTGATCTTATTCTATACTTGCGCTCCAAGCTCAAAACTTGCTAAACAAAAATTTCATGACCAAATAAAATCTAATATTTTTCCATACATTTAATTATTTTCTAAACCCTTAAAACCCTAATTTTCATTCTTTGAAATTGCCATAAATTATACCCACCCTAAATTTCTATAAACTCATCACCTAAACACCTATAAATAACCCTCTTCCAAACACCCCAAGACACACATTAAAACTCCAAGAAATCTCTCTCTCCCTCACGGTTTTCCTCTTCTTTTTCCTTCCCCAATTTTCGGCCACCACCATCACCGGCGACCACCCTCACCGACGACCACCTACTGCCGCCGGCAACCGCCAGTCACCACCACCACCAGCCGCCACCTCTCACCGTCGGCCACCCTTGCTCCTCCTTGTCTTTGGTTTCCATCTCCATCCTTCAATTTCTCCTTTCTCCTAATCTTATTTTACATTACTAAGCATTTATAATTGAATTTCATATATGTTATTTCTTGCATAAATTATAGTATAAATAAAAACAGAAAAATTATTTAAATTATAAAAACAGAAAGTTATTTTATTAAAATATAATGATACTTTATAATAAATTCATGCACATATAGGATAGATCGGTTAAGTTGTTGTGCTTATTTGATGGCCTTATATTAATTAAGGTTATAATGATGTGTAGTTTGTTCGTTATTAAGTGAAGTAATTATGTGAATCGCTCGTGTTACGATCAAGGTACGTTATGTGGTTTGATACCTTCGAAAGTTATCTATGAAATTGTGTTTTATTATGTTTCTTATGAAATTATGTTTTATTATGCTTCTTATGAAATTATGTTTTATGATGGTTTAAATTAATAATTTTGGTTAATCAAAAGAGACTTTGAATTGTGATTAAAATTATTAAAAAGGATTGGATTAAAAATGATTTACAAGTTTCTTGATATTCAAGAATAATGGATTTTTTTTTTAAAAGGTGATTTTAAGCGAATCAATCGATATGGTTATGAATCCCACTTAGGGAATGGATTAGAGAAGACTATGGACTTTGTATGACCTAGTCTTTCCTCAAGATTGGCCTTTGTTCATAAAGTAAACCACTTAGGGGGTGTGCACACTTAGTGATGAGGAATTGGTTTTGAAACGTAATCGATTGAGTTTTATACTTGTCTTGAAAGAATTGAATTGGAAAAGCTCTTACATAAGTATGATGTTGGGAAGATTGTTTGGAATTATTGGAATTAAACTTAAATGATTTAATTGATGTTTTACTTATCTCACACATAATCTACTTAGCATAATTTGCTAATGCATGCTTTTGTTTGGCTTTGCCCTGTTTACCATTTATGGTTAAGTAGGTGAACTTTTCAGGTGGAAGTTGATTGATGCATATGGGAGTCCACAGGAATTTCACCTAGTTTAGGGAAAAGTTTGACTTTGTGTTTTTATGTCATAAATAATGAACAGTTTTATTAGAAGTATTATTAATAAAGAATAAAGTATTTCCGCTGCGAAAAGTATTTTGAAGTATAAGCCTTGCGTTGTCGCGCGGTGGTAATACGCCAAAGTCTATCTCTACGGTATTTATACGTATTTTTCTACATCTTCCGTAGAGGGAGATTTGGGGGAGTTAAAGGTTAGATTGGGGCTTAATAAATAAATGGGCTTTAGTCATGAAATATTTGACCCATAAGGGTTCAAATAAAGAATTGGACTTAATTAAATGAAATAGGGTAGATCTGATAGGAGTATGTAGGAATAGTTTACATACGATTATTTAATGAGCCCTGTTTGGGGTAAAATTACCCATGCCACGTGGCCCAATGGGGTGCTGACACGTGTCAGCCTCAGAGAGGCCAATGGGATCCACTCTCCTGCTGACACGTGGCACCATAACCCTAATAGGGGAACTGATCTCCTTCTACTATAAATAGAGGAAAGTCCTTATTTATTGATATATTCTTGCACAATCATAAATACATACACAACTACCGAGCAATATTAATTACAAAATCTCCAGCAATCCAAGAGACTATTTACTTTCCGCAATCTTACTCATTCAGACGTACTCTAACTTGATCATCGGAGGCGGAACTCCAACCAACCGGAGTCTCCATGCTTTTGCAGGTACAGGCGGTCGGCTACCAGTTCTAGTGTTGTAACTCTCCCGCAGGACACATCAAAAAACCCCGAAACATTTGGCACCGGCTGTGGGGAGAATACTTCCAGAATGGCATCCCACGAGTCTGTACTTCCTAACAATGAGAAACGGCCTCTGGCCGAACCTGAGGTCTAGACGGACCAAGATAGTGGCGACGACCAGGCAGTCGAAGCCTATATGGCCCCAGACGGGTCATTTAGATCCAGGCGTCCCCGTCCTAAAGAAAAAAGGGAACGAGACCACGATAAAGCAGGCCCCAGCTACCCAACCGGGCAGCCGGCTCGACAAGTCCCGACGGCTGAGGGTGCTACCCCCGTAACCAGAGACGAACTCATGAAATTCATGAGTAGCTTCAAAGGGGAAATCAGGGACCTGATAAGCAAGAAGGCAGGCTCCCACAAGGGTTAGTCAACCAAAAAACCTTCTCCCTCTGGGATGAAGCCTACTCTATCAAGGAGGAAGCCTTCCCCCTCTGAGAAGAAGCCGGTAAAAGACCGGGTTCCAACTCCTCATCCAAAACCACATGGACCGGAATGGCCCATGGTGGATCTCTCAAAATTTCTTTTCCCCGAAGCGGGGAAGAGGAAGGCCATCCAGCAAGTTCATTCGGATGGGTCAAAAAAGACGTTCTCCGATGCTCAGATGTTCCTCCAGCAAAAGAGAAGTCAACAAATGTCTAAGTCGGCTTCAATGTCGACATTCTCAGACAATCTCCATAATACCTCAATGAGGTATTCAGAGACAAACCGAGAGAGTTAGTCAGGCGGCATGTCCGCCCGATTTGGCCCTTAGATTATCCAGCCGGCTCCGTATGTGCCCCAACAGCCATACCTGCCGTATGGATCTCCTTACATGTAGCCGGCCCTCTTTGGAGGAAAGGCGGCACAGAATGTCCAGCCTATGGACTGGCAGATTCGACTGCTAAACCTTGGGAAACAGCCTTCGGCTTTCTCTAGGGAAATAACCGAGGCGGCTCAGCCGGCCAAGGTTAAGAACGTGTTGGTCGGTGCCTACGACGGTACCACCAGCCCGGAAGACCACCTTATGGCATACATCAACCTCATGTATTTGCAGGGGTTGGATGACGCCGCCTGGTGCAAATGCTTTCCGGCAACATTGAAGAGCATAGCCTAACGATGGTTTGGCAACCTACCAGCCGGTTGTGTCAACAGCTTCAAGACACTGGCATACCTGTTCGTGTCTAACTTCTCTATGAACATCCCGGCCAAGAAGACTAGTCTCGATTTAGGGGCTATACAGCAGGGAGATAGAGAAGGGTTGAGATCCTATGTCAGGCGGTTCAAACTAGGTCAAATTTGAAGGTCGACCCGTCTTTCATACCCTTGAAGAAGTCTGTGTAGGCAACTTCGTCAGACAATCCCTGGATCTGAATTCTCATCCAATAGAAGCTTTAGGAAATTTTGGAAAGAGGGTGGAAACCCTCCAAGAAGCTCTGACGGAAGCTGAAGCCTACATACAGGCGACATAGCTCTGTGCCATCAAGTAGCCGTCATATCCCAAAAAGTCTGACAAAAAGGATAACCGGCCAACTTAGTCGGTCAAAAAGAAGAGAGCAAGAAAGAAAATAAGTTTGGGTGGCCGACCGCTCTGGCCAGTCATCCTAAAAGAAGAAGAAAGAGTTGAAACGTACGTCCCAAAGTACGAGTTCAACAAGGATTGCTCCTCCATTCTCATGGAGGACAAAGACTGATTGTCTATAGATAAACCGGCTGCAATGAAAAGTCCCATCAAAAGTCGGGACAAGTCCAAGTTCTGCCATTTTCACGAGGACATAGGCCATGACACCAATGGTTGCTATAGCCTCAGACGGCTGCTGGACCGCTTGGCTAACGA